TTTGAAATTTGGATAATTTATCTGTCTTGTAGTTGTATATCTGTTTAGAAATATCTTTGGGAGAAGAAAGGGGTTGTACTCCATGTTTAGGAGAAGAAAAGGGATGTACTCCGTTGAATTAAGTTAGCCGGAGTGTCCATGGTGAATGTCCCAAAAATCACGAGTATACATGGGTGTCGATTCCTGTAGATGAAATATCCGTAAAATGGCAAAAAGAAGTGTTTGTATGATGGCTATATTGGTTAGAGACCCACTGAGTTATATCCTCAGTTTGGTTGTCTGAATAAAATGGAAATAACTCATCAATTGAGATAAAATGGATCAAGATATAAGTTCGACATAGTATAATTTTGTAAAAGAGTTGTAAATAATTTTATCACGGGTATTGTTTGTGCATATCACACTCATATCTTTGTTAAAATTTATACGTTGTGTTAAATTATTTCTACTGGGCTTTAGCTAACCCTATTTGGGGAAAACCATATTCAGGTGCTGGTGAGATGCCCCCTCCAAGGACTTAGCTTGGGAGGACCGTGGAGCTGAAGGCTCAGTTTTGTTTTGTTGTTTTTGTATCTAACGTTCGTACAAGCCTAGGGCTTTATTTGTATCGAGCTTACGACTCACTTTTGAGGTACCCAAGCCTTAACTTTGAAAGATGTAAACCTTTAGGGCATATAATTACCTGTTTAGCTTTTATTACATTATTACTGTTTGATAACAGATGTTGTAGATTAAAGGTGTTCTATTTATGAATGTATATCGCATGTGTCACCCCTTTTGTATAATCAAATCTCATGTAATAGAATGACATTATACTCTGATTCATAATGTTATTTACTTATTGTTTTGGATGGTATATTGCGTTTATTTCGGAGCGTTATAACTTGGTATCAGAGCATACCGGGTTTGAATACTTTGAGTATGTGGGAAGTGGTTATTACCACACTGGGTTTGTCGCACTTGATAGAGACATTAGTATGTATAGTATACTATGTGAAAACATGCTTATATGATTATATGGATATGAGATTTAGTTCCTAAAATATTGATTGGGTCTATGGGTTTCTAGATGTCCTGTTAGAAGAGCACTTGATCACTGTTGTTCTAATTGGAATCCTGGCAATGTTGCGATACGGTTGCTATCCAAGAAAGAAATTCATATGTGTTTATGTGATTACGTGTTTACGTAGAGTGAATTAATGTTGCCCACAGCATTAGGACGCGAGAGAGTTAGCTTCGGCACATTTGTAAATGTGCTAATCTCTTTGTTACCTTCATTAGGATGTCAGGACGTGGACGTGGTGGTAGTAGGCGTAGTAGGCCTATGAGGCATGAGGTGCCTCTATCGGATGAGATTCCGACACAAGAAGAAGGGGTTGGTTAGGCCAATCTGGCCGAACCAGTTGGTCAGCAGGCCATGGACGCCTTAGCCCGCGAAATGGCCGAAGCATTGCTGGAATTTATGGACATTCTCAAGGCTGAGAATTAAGTCCAGGCCAGAGTAATTGAGACAGGGCCATCATTCTTGAAGCGAGAGTTTTTTCGGTCAAATCCGGACGAGTTTTTAGGTGATCCCAAGGAGCCACTGAAGGCGGATGAGTGGCTAGAGCAGATGGTGAAGACGTTTGAGATGCTTGACATCGAAGATGGAAGTTTGAGGGTGACCTTGGTAGCTTTCCAGCTGAAGGGGGATGCAGGTCAATGGTGAAAGTATGCGCGTGGGCGCATTTGTAGTGACTTTGGAGGCTTTCATTGACGCCTTCCAAGACAAGTTTGCAAAACTGTGATCATTATACTACATTTGTTTTTGGATCTATAATTTGTAAAGATTCAGCCATAGTCTCAAATTTATTTATTTATTTATTTATTTCTGTTTTTTGAATTGTCAATTTGTTTGAAGCATTTATAATACATATAGTATATACCATTTGTACATTATAGTCTATATTGAAACTAGTTACAAACTATTGTAATAGTGGGGCTAGAAAATTATTAAATTAAAATTAATTATGTTCCATTATAATGTTTGATTATGTCTGAATGGTGGTATAATGTTATCGAAAATATCAAGCAATACATATTGGGAATCAGGTGGCATGGTTGTGAATTTTTTGAAATCATCAATGATAAAAAATAAATAAATAAATAAATAAACCAATTTTATTGTAGCCGAACCAGCTGTATATTATTACAATCCAATTGCTCTTTATGATTTCAGGCCAATAAGTCTCATAGGATTTGTCTACAAGGTTCTTGCAAAAGTACCCTCCAACAGTCTGAAGAAAGTTCAACCAGCCTTTATTTGCCAATGAACATGGCCTAATTTTGAGGCTCAACTTTGCAAAGCCATTTGACAATGTGAACCGAAAATATCTTTTTCCAATGACGAAGAGTTTTGGACTAAAATGGATTATTGAATGTGTTTCTACTACATCTCTTTTTCTTCATCTTAGTGAATGAATCTCCTGCTCAGTAGTTTGCCATGAAAATGGAGTTGCAGCAAGGTGACACCCACTCACCTTTTCTTTTCAACAGCCTCTGACAGTTTATGAGTATTCTCTTCAAGAGAGCCAAGAGCCTAGGTCTGATTGGGGATGTTCAAATTGGGCAAAATGACCTTACAATTTTTCAGCTTTAATTTGACACAATAGTGTTATGCAATGCAAGATGGCACAATGCCCTGACCATTAAAACAGGCCTTAGAACCAATAACCACAAAAGCAGTACCAGTAGTGTGGTGCAGGTATCTCAAATGAACTTGCCAATGACATGGCCAAGGCATTAAGGCTCCTTTTGGGAAGTGGGTTATAATCCACTTCCCAGATTATAACCCACTTCCTCTCTCACAAAAAGCTGATTATAACCATCTTCCCAAAATAATCCTAAGTTGCAATCAGCAGTCTCTACAAATCAAATACTTGGGGTTGCCTTTGGGTGCCAGCCGAAGATTTTGAAGCATTTGGAATCCAATAACTAAAAACATCATGAGTAAACTCACTTCATGGAAAGAAGAGATTTCTCTCTTTTGGAGGGAGGCTCACTCTTAGTATTAAGCAATGTGGCCTAGTGGCATTGAGGAAATGCTTAGGTGCTTGTAGGGGAGAGGTTGGGAGTTTAACTCCCCTAGGAGTTAACCCAACAATTAACAACTGATTTTCCATGATAAAAAATAAATAAAATACAGTATTAAGCAATCTTCCGATAATGATTGATTCACTTTCTTTTGAAATAGTGAAAGACTAAATCACTATGGAAGCATTCTTGTAATTTGTTTGCTTATTCTTGGTGATCCACTTCTTTTAATCTGTCTGCTTTTTCTGTTTCTTCAGTAAGAAAATTCCTCTTTCCTTTGCCGATCCAAAATAAAAAATAAAAAAATCACTAATGGAAGCAATTAGTAGGTGATAAATACAACACACTAGCCATTTTTCACATAACTGATGGCGAAGTTGAATGGAACTTGGATTTTAGAAGAGCTCTATTTAGTTGAGAGGCCCTTCCCTTCTCAGTATTTTGGTCTTTTTAGAAGGCAAGGAACAATTGCATCTCTAACAATACGGTGTTTAATTAGAAAAAAGTTTGGGTTAAAAGCAAACACGAGAGGTTGGACTATTCAACCCAAGATTTCATTACTGGAAAATCGACGCTGCTATAGGTACTGAAAACGTCGCTAATTCTTTTTGTGACGTTTAGTACCAAACGCCGAAGACGTGGCCGTTGCTATAGCTTTATGGCGTTCGGAAAACATCGGTATATTAGTATAGGCGGCGTTTTTAAAAACGCCACCAAGTGTCCTACCCTAACTGTACTATGACGTCACTATCACATTTAGCGACGTTTTTGAAACGCCGTCAAACACATTTATACATTTTAAAAATCTAACCGTTAGGATAGGGATATAGTGACGTTCAAAAAATGCCACCATAGCCTTTATTTTTATTTTTTTTATTTTTGAAGTTGTGCTAATTTTATATGGTTGAAAAAAATACCTATCATAAACAATTATTAAGAACTAATAATTGATGTTTATTAAAATAATAAATAAACTAAGTTTGAAAACAAAATTAAAAATAAAAAACAATGCAATAAGATGTGATACATGTACAATTACCGAATATATCTAGACACAAAATATATTAGAAATCCGTGAGGATTTATTTACGAAGTCAGGCTTGAAAACTCATGCAGAAAGTAGAGAAGACATCCATTCTCCTAATGACACAATACCGATAGTAGCAAAAGCTTGGCCCAATTCATAAGCAAAATTTTCTTTCTGAACGAGGCAAACTTTGCCAATTTGTCCTCCTGCAAAAAGTCACAGCTAGGACCAAATTAGAAAGGTTAATATCAGTACAATAGATTGACCCATTAGATTAGAATGGAAAACATTAGATTAAATTAACTTAATGCATATAAGTGCATACCCCAAATCAACAATGATGATGCTAAGATTATCTTGTGAACGTCGGTCTTGTAATATACATAAATTTGTAGGTATGATCAAGCATTGTCCAAGAAAAATAAACATCTACGCATCCATTACCAGAGCTACTCTTCCAAGCGCCTCACAAGCTAACAAAAATCAGAACAAAAGAAGTTAAAACTTTGTAAACCATAACACTGGTATACCAGAATTGAAGCAAATTTTTTACCTGAACATCTTCGGGTTGCCAAAACTGATTCCTAACAAAATTAACTGCTTCTGAGCTGAAACAATAGCAAAGTTGATGAGATAATACTCATCTTGTGGTTGATTAAGAAAAATATTAAATAAATAACTATCATGCTAATTTAAGATAATTTACAGAATGAAAGTACAAGGTTCAAACAGGAAATCACAAACAGCACTGTCAGTATAAAGCACAGTTTTTACGTCATCATAGATATCTTCATTAGCAGTTCCAAGAGCTATTTCTCGGCTCCACAGATTGCTTTATTGTCTGTAAAGTTGTGTAACAACAAAGGTTTATTTAGAGAATGAAAGTGGAATGTTGATTTACCAGATTCTCACGGAGATATGTATCCACAGTTGTCCCAGCATGCATAATTGCATTAGCATATATTGTTGCACTGTGGCAGACATTATTTCTCGGCTCCACAGACTGCTTTATTGTCTTGAGAATAAGAAGATCCGACCTATATGAAAATTATAAAATTAATGAAAAAAGCTTTTCACAGTACGCAAATGGAACTCCTGAAAATTGAATTTGAGCAAAGCAGAATAAATAAAGAGCTGGAAGTTATATCTGTTGTCTCACTTGTTATGACTGTATAAAAATTATAGAGTCAACTGTATTGAAGTCTCTCCCGGCAAAATTCCTTTTATTTTTGTTAGCCTCTCAGCATAGGTCACTTCTTTTGGATCTGCTTCTTGCACATTCACATTAGAAGCTTGAGTTCCATCTGTCATTTCAACATCCTCAGATGCAGTAGCTAAGTTGTAAATAGAACTACAAGTCCTGAACTACCCAAGGCAATTGGTTTGCCTTTTGATTGATCTGATACCATTGTATTAGGATATTATGAAGATAATAATAAGAGAGTGCACTGAAAGAAACTGCTAAAAAAAGAAAACACCCAAATCTCTTAAAGAAGATATCCATCCTAGAATTCATACATAAAGCACATCTTTCAGACACATACAGAGACAGAATTCAACTTTTCTAAAATAGATATTTAAATTGTGTCCGTGTCCTTGCTTCTTAGTTGTTAATGCTATTGTTGCCAATTTCAAATTTACCTAATACTACAATCTTCGATCAAGATTCTTTATTCTACCACCATAATTTTTTTGTGCTGCATGAATATGCTAATTATCAATAGAAATTCAGTTTGACCACATCAAAGAGTAAATTCAACTTAAATTGTGGTCTTGGCTGTATCCAGATTCTAGATACAGATATATCTCCATGAGAAAAAATCACCAACAAACAGTCTGTTTCAAAGAATTTTGAGAGATCTTCAACTATCCAAGTCAAATACAAAAAGGATAGAAGTAGAGCTCAATTACATGTATTATGCATAGGTTACATAAACACAAGATTTTGAGCAAATAAATAATTATATTATTTAAGTGCAATCATTGTTGATATCAAGCCTATCCTTTCTTGAGGAAATATATATATATATATATATTTGGGGTGATTGACTGAATTGAATTATTGAATTAGGGAGTTCACATCCATTATTTGTAGATTTCCCAGCAGAGAGAGATATTTGTATGTTGAAATATACCAAAAAGAAAAGACAACAAAATATGATTTCCACAATTCTTTAAGAACATTAACTACACTGCAAATGTTGGCTATCGCTACACTGCAGATATGCACTCATATCATGTGAAGCTATCATTCTATCCAAAAACGTAAATGATAGATCACATTGTGCACTCTATTAGAAACTCTACAACATACTACCTAAACTAATCATGACAGGTAATAAAACACTATGAGTCTATGAGTGTCATGTTCAGCATAATCTATACTACTTATTTACCCTTAATAAGAGGAATTTTGTACATAATATCACAAAGAAAATACAAAGAATTTCAATGACGAGTACGGAATTAAATGTTTACTTCACAAATCCCAAAACCCATAAATTCATATATAAGCACATATTTTATACTATTATTAGAAGGTAACACCTTAATTGATGTCCCTGACAGATTTTTAGCATGCCTGAATTACCCCATGCTCAAACATCTTTGCATAATTCCAGAATGCCGAAAAACAAAGATAAAGCAGTTAATTAAGGTCTTCAAACTTCAACATTAAGAATGAATAGCAATACAAGGAAGTCAGTTCCTATAGCTGTTTATTGTATGAACATCACATGTTGCTGAATCCAGGACACTGAACTGGTCCACCAGCCGCAGGACACACTTTCCAAACACCATCAACAGCAACCTAAAAAGAAGTAAAGAAGTTCACAGTTACATTGGAATATCACATAAAAAACTGACAACATGCAGTTCAAAAGTGAGTCCTTAACTCATTGCTGAACATAAATGAAGAAACGATGCGGCTCAGTCGATCATAATTAGGAAAATTTTGTAATTTAAAGATAATTATACTTTTGCCAAGGAATTGGTTTTTCAATGTAAAGAAATTTTTTCCATAATAGTCCTAAAAGAGATGGTATCAGTAGCATTCTTTGAAGGAAATAAATTCAAAATCGAACTCGTACAATGTTTCGTTGCAGCCATTCTATTCAATATAAATGAGCTCAGAATCCTTATATTAAAAACCAAAGTTAAAGGGCCAAATTATACCTCCAGCGAATTATTTATACACCTGTGCTGATAACAACCATTTCCTTGGGTCATGGAACCCCTTACAGACCCAGTTCGTACTAATGATGAGGCCATACACCTACAAGAATGAACAGAAGTTATGCCAATGCATAATTCAAATGTGAGAATCTGAAAAAAGTTCCATAAGCATATCTCACCTTGAGCTATGTCCTCTCACCTCACCCAACATTCTGTCAGGTGGTCGAGCACTGCTCATGTCTGTGCATGATTGCATGATCCATCAGCATAAGCTACATAATAAGTGCAATAGTCAGCTAATGATAACTGCCCACCTGCGATGGCCAAGAATGGAAGTCAATATTCTACAATGGTTATTATTGTACATATTTAAACCAAACATGACTATCTAAATTTAAGTGATCACTAGCTGGAAGTGGAACATCTAAACTTAGCATAAGAAATTAGTGAACAATAACTTGCTAGAGATTTGAATCTTTCCAGCAAGTCACAAGCAAAATCAACTACTGTCTGGAAGAGGACAGATGTCAGAGGGAATCCAAGCTTTAGCAAGATTCTAACATGTCATTTAATTTCGGGTATATTACACTGATCTCCCAGCAAACTCCGCAACTTTGAAAAAATTACAGTGACCTCCCTTTTAGAGAGGTTAAAGGGACCGGAACAAATGAAGATGGTGTGAAGACACAAAGATAAATAAGGAAAAAATATACATTTCATTGTAAAAGAGATGACATCATCATTTTTCCATCTACGTGACTAACAAATTTCTTATGACAATGAGGCTCAGTGCTATGTGAATTAAAACCTTACGTGAGTCCAATGTGACTATGCTAAACTAACACGTGTGTTTGATGTATAGCCAAATTTGCTTTCACAGAATACTCATAATAGCAAGAATTCAAAAATGTATGCTCACCAGGAAAATTTTGAAATCTATGGAGTGGAAAATCAGAGAAAAACCATCATGTCAACATATTTTCCAGCGATGGTTCTGGTTGCTACCAGTCCAGCTGCCAAAGCAGCACCGAATAAAGCATGCAATCTCACACAGTAATACTTTTCCATAAAGATCTTCATTTTGTCCTATAAGAATGAAGTCTCAATACCACAATAGAGAACTAATCCAATTCAGCTATAAAAAGAGTAACAACTAGGGTTCATAATCATCAAATTTGTAATTCTACAGTAAAATTGAAGCTTAAAATGTTACTACTCACCTTGTGGTTCTGCTCAACGTAGTTGACGACTAGTTTTCCAATGGGCAAGGTTAGGGCACAGAGAAACTGAAACAAAGCTATGATTAGATTTAGAATAGTGGGATGGGTAAGTATGATGCACTTCAAATGGCACTAAAGATCATGTGACACCTAAATTAAGCATTCTTCACATTAAAGAACGCTCTAAAATCAACGAACTTACAATGCAAGTAAAAGGGAGGGCTCTGCAAAGACCAAAAACAAGCAAAAGCAAATAAAGTGTGAATATAGCCACTTTCACCAGCTTTGACCCTGTTTCCGTGCCAAGCCTAACCTGAGCAAAGGTATCAAACCCAAAATAAATAAATAAATAAATACACGTGAATCGATTGTTCAATTTTCCTTGAATTTTGAAGTTCTAATGTTAGGGCACTTATCAGAGGGGACATTTTTCTGACAGCTCTATCTCCGTTTACCTGAGTTGCACACCATTCATGTTACCTGATATAGGGATACCCTGAATAGGGAGATGTGGAAATATCAAGGGGAGAGAAAACAAGGGAAGAAAATTTTACCTGATGGAAGTGACTACAAAAGAGGATTAGAGTTGTTGTGAAGCCAACTAGGAGCAATGCGAAAATGATTGTGCCAGTTATAGAAAGTTCACTGTATTAATCACCCAAAATCAATACTCATATAAGGCATGTGATGTGAAATCCAAGATTATCAAGAAATCAATATTAGCTACAACCTTGTGTTGCTCTGTAGCAAGTAAAAAGCAGTCGTAGCAAATGGACCAAACGCTGAAAAGCTCAAAGGCTCTCCAAATCCTTGATAACTTAATCGAAATGGCGGGCATTGGAATGAACACAGTTTCAAATAGGTGAATTTTTTTATTTTTTTTTTGATATGCCAAATAGGTGAAATGACTGTTGTGCCCCCACGTAAAGCACTTGTTGCACAAATGACCATTTCAAGCTTGATGTTGGATTTCTCTCGAAATTACGAAAATGACTTTGAAGAATTCTCAAAAGATTGAAGAGTTAAAAAACAACTCACAGTGAGAGGAACCAAGCAACAGAGTGAATTGGTAATTTGATTGCTCCCCATATCAAGATTGCTCTATAAATGTCCTCTTCCTTTTCCTCTTCATAAGTAGAATTCTTGGAGGAAATGCACTGACATCTATGCCGCCAATTGAGTTGTCTTGTAGAAGTCCTATTGAGATATTAGAACACATAGTAGTAACCATAATAATAGCAGAACACATGCTCATTAGAACAAACAAGTATGAAGCGAAGATGTGACTCAATTTGTTCCAATGCCAAGACACTATAGTAGTCATTGGTTCCAAATCATCAAGGACTTTAAAAAATTAATAACAATCCACAAGGAGGAAATGAATTCACTGTACCTAAGTCAAATCATTTGAAAATAATAAAATCTACAATTTTTAGTAACATAAATTAATATATATTCGCACACAAACAAATATGAACACTGATACATGCATATATATAAATCATCATCTCAGTTTCTCGTTGGTGAACATGAGTATGCGTATATATATAAATCATCACCTTAGTTTGTCGTTAGTGAACGTGAGTTATCAACAAAGTCAACCGCTTCAGATTTCAGAGATGCTTCAGAAGATCAGCTTCAGGTCTTGTAGATCTAAATCTTTTGATGGAGATCAAGTCCATCATCTCATTCAAATCAATCTTGCATAAATCTAAATCATGGATAAGATTTCAGCAACTACAAAGGACTGATTACTGAGATATCGTCATTGTCCTCCTTAAGTTCTCGCCCACTGAGGCTTAAAAACAAGGAAGAGAAGAGAGCAGAAAATTTTCAGCATATTTGAAACAATGAAGAAGCAATTTTGACACACATTACATGTGCCAGTGCCATAATAAGATAGCAGTAAAGAATAAGAATAAGAAACAACAGAAAAGAGAATCTGGAAAGAAAAGGAAAGAAGACCAGAGAAAGGCAACTATGATATCTCGAAGTTTAAAAATTATCAATACAAAAGACGAGATTCGAAAATTATTTATTGTTTAAGAAGTTTGAAGATTATCAACACAACAAAGTTTGAAAATTCCATATCTCCAGATAAGAGGAGGTTCCATTTGTTCGACAAATAACAGATGCAAATCAACCTTAAACTTTATTAACTTGCACCTCTGAAATGCATTAAGCCACTGCTAACATATCAAATCGCAAACAAAGGGACTGAAATATAATCAAAACAACATTTAAACAATTGAGATATTTAAGCACACCAAAAAGTAAAGTTGCGAAAGAAATGATGATATGACACACAATCTGACCTCACATCCAAACCCTAGGAGGAGATTCAAGACTGTAAACCCTAGGAGAAGAATCAGCGGAATGAAGATTTTGAGAGAAAGAGAGAGAACTTCGACATCGAAATCGAGATTGTAGACAGTAGTGCTCACCTTAGTAGATGATGCAGATGGTGGTGGTGGTGGTGGTGGTGGAGCTTCAAAATCGAGAGCGAGAGAGAGAGAGAGAGAGAGAGAGAGAGAGAGATAGAGAGAGAGAGAGAGAAAACTTCGAAATCGAAATCACCGAGCTGAAGAAGGTTGAATCGTATTTTCCAAATCAATATTGAAATCGATTCTGCTCTATGAAATCTATTTTGCTCTATGAAATCGAAATCACTCTGAGATTGGATCACCGAACTTCGATATCGAAATCACTTTAAGGGTTTAGAGAGAGAGAGCGAGCTTGCGAGATTCATACACTGGTGTTTCTCAGATTTGAGTGATTGAAAGTGAGAAGAAGGGTTTCTCAGATTAGAATGAGGGTTTGAAGAGGGAGAGAGAGCGCGTGAGAGTGGGACACATTCGAAGGCGTTTCCAAACGGGTTAAACGGTACCGTTTTATTAAATTAAAATGTGGGATACATTCGAAGGCATTTTTAAACAGGTTAAACGGTTTCGTTTTATTAAATTAAATTGCAACGTTTATAAAAACATCGTTAAATATTAGAAAATGTGGCGTTTAAAAAAGCGCCGTTAAAAAAGCGCCATTAAATCACACATTTCCTGTAGTGTTTTTTGTAGCATCTTCATCAGATTTAGGATTGTTAGATTAGATACATATTTTTCTACATAGTCGTCTTGGATATGGTTGTCCCTTCTTTGCTAGGACCTGAGTGGATTGTTTTGTTAGGCAATTCTGGTTTTATTTTGCTTGATTAGATGTTGTTTATGCCTCCAAATGGGCTGCTTTTCATTGCTACTAATTTTGTTGTGCTTCGTTTTATTTCTTCCACCATTGTTCTGTCTTCTATTATATCTTTGCTGTGTAATTATGCATTTTTTTTCACCTTGACCTTTGATCTATTATTGCTTCATTGTAATTTCTCCCCATCTATAAAATCTCTCTTTTTCTCTGATAAAAAAAAAAAGAAAAAAAAATTAAGCGTTTATGGCAAGACTACATTAGCATCATATCTCTTGACCTGGTACATTTGTCTTGATTTCTATATGCATCTATGGCAACACTGGCAAGACTATGATTGCATCGGCCTACCATTAATGTACTTCTGTTTATCAACTATACTATTTTGTGCTTCTTAGATATGTGAAGATGAGTGTGATTACCAATTCTTCAGTGTAACAGCTTTAGTGGCAAATTTTCTGAGGCAGAACATGAAAGTCGAATTTACTTTTGATTGACTTTATTCACAGATGTATGTAACATGCTTGTAGTCCTTTTGCAGCTTTATTTTTGTTAATTGGCTTTCTTTGTTTTGATACTTCAAAAGGTTTGATTCATTGTTTGTTACTTGCAGTTTTTTTTTTTTTTGGGTTTCAAAAGTTGTAATTATGTTGAAAAAATAAGTGAAAAACTAGTTTGGGGCTTCTTAGGAGCTGCTATAACAACAAATATACCGACATTGAGACAATTGGATCAAGAAGCTAATCCATGAAAAATCTGGAAAGGCTTGCTTGGATCAAGAAGATAATCCATGAAAAATCTAGTGATTTGGTGCCAACATAGTTGGGATTGTCTTGCTTGCTTTGATGCTTTTTGCGCCCGCCCTTAATTTTCATTACTATTTTTTTTTTTGTTCTTTTGCTGATCAAAAATGAAAATTTTGGAAAGGCTATGATGTTAGTTAATCTAAGATATTGAATGGAAAGCTAGAAAAACATCTATTCGTGTACCAAATCAAAACAGAATAACAAAAGTACAAATAAATGAAGAAGACTAGACAAAAATCATCTCCTATTTTCTGCTTTCTTCTTCTGTTCTTCTATTTCCTTGGACAACTCTATAATGAGTTAAAGCTCGTTGGTGTATCATGGAGAATGATCACCAAGAGCCATCTGCATTCTGCACCGAATGGAGGCTTAATCAATCTTAAGGACAAGAGTTTAATTTTGGCATTGCAATCTTTTCATCATCTTGAATAAGCTTCTTTTCTTCATTTTTATCTTACTAGGTTCTGTTTTTTTCTTTTTTCTTTTTTAAATCTTAATCAATCACTGTTTTTATAATTATTTCGTAACGAGGACCAAATACTTTGAACCACCTAGAAAACTTTCATAACACGGCTTGATATTAAAGAAATTTAATCTAAAACGAAGCCTTTATTATATATATATATATATATATATAATAATAATAATAATAATAATAATAATAAAAAAAAATTGTTTCTTTATAGAGGACAGTTCACTTTAAAGGACCACAGGACATATAAAGATTAAAGAATCATAATACAAACAAAACATATTAAGATCAAAGAATGACTATAGATGAATTATATTACATTAGGTTCATAATAGACATAGATATCACACAAACTCTAAACCAAGATAGCACAACATGATCTACAAAACGGACATCGACGAGCCTTTAGCAGCCACTTGAACAAGCAGTCTCTGTGGAACATATGCGAGCAAGGCGTTATCGCAACCATCATCCATCCACAAATCCCCTCTAAACAAATCAAACACGGGTCTACCTCTTTATCATCACCTTCCAACTCCTTCACCTTCATCGCAGCCTCAACCTAGTGAAGCCCTTAACGCTTCTGGTTCGATATTGGTTTCACCCATAAAAGCATCAGTTCCTTCAGAAGCAACCTTAACATACCCCGAATCTCTTGAACTTCATCAATAGAAAACTTTCACGAAGCATTTTCACTGTTGACATCCACGACTTTCTGTCTTTTAACTTGTTTTCATGAAAGCCTTTTTTGCATGTAGCTCGTGGTCCTCGAAATATAAACATCTACCACTATAACGATTGTGGGTTTTTGATGAGATGTTTTAATGTCGAACTTGAAACAACTGTGCAAGTATATAGATACATCTTTAATCAAATTCAAAATTGTTTCTTCAGAAAAGTATTTTATGCCATGGATGGCTTGAGAAACCAACTGTTCTGTGGAGTTCAAAGTTGATAATTTCATGAGATCGAATATTGACACTTCAAACTTCTTAAAGATTTCTTTAACAAAACCACCTTGTTTGATCTGAATTGCTTTCTTAGAATTGAGACGATGGTGCAACTGGCATTTCTGGTGACAATGCTGAAGTAGAAAGGCAGAAGGGCAGTGACATATGCCAGTTTTGGGTTTCTGGTTTTGGCAGCAGAGCAGCAGAGGAGAGAGAGAGAGAGAGAGAGAGAGTTTGTGTTAGGGTTTGGTTTGGGTATACAATATATATGTATACATGGATAGTTTAGTTTCTGATACCACTTATGTTAGCTTTTGATCAAACTCTCTTTAGAATGAACTATATTTTGTATTGAATTTTTCTCACTTATTTATTCATATATTTTGCCCAAAAGCTTACATCCTTTTATATAGAGAAGGTTATACATAAGTTCAATGAATAAGATTCATGAACCTAAACAACCTTACAATTAACTAGGTACATGAATATAATCTACACAACGTACTTAATAAATATAAAATACATGAATATAAAAATACATGAATACAAAGAATGTACATTGTCTAGATTATATTCATGTACCTAGTTAATTGTAAGGTTGTTTAGGTTCATGGATCTTAT